CTAAAACCAGCCGACTTTGATTTTTTTTTTTTTTATGATTTCTCATATTTTTTATATTTTTTATATTTTTTGTTATTTAATACATTTTTAATCCCATATCTTTTTTAAAAATTACAATATCACCATTTGTCATCCATTATTTATTTTTTTATTTCAATTAAAATACAAATCCTTTTTTTTTTTGTTATTTTACTTATAAAACAATTTTAGCTTGCTTTTACTATCAATCTCTATTCTTATCTGGATTATTATTTTTTTTTAAAAAATATTTCACACAAGTTTATTTAGTATATTTTATTATAATATATTAAATGAAAAATAATACGAGAGATGAAAAAATTATTAAATTTGTTAATATGTATAATTGAGTTTGACTTATTAACTTGAATTTACTTTGTTTTTTTAATTAAGTATTGTTTTTATATATTTTATCTTTTAAAATTAAGTTAATTAATAATTAAATTTTATAATTTATTTTTTATAAAGTTATGTCCTATGCCAAGTGAATTCAATATATTGCCACTTAAATATTAAATAAAAATATTGTTTATTGTCACTGTATCAATTGTTTTATATATAAAAAATTCAATATATAGTAGATTTTGAATCCATAACTAATTTTTTTAAAAAATATATTAACAAAGCTTTTGTATTTATTTTTTGAAATTTTTTAAAAAATTTATTTTAACTTCTATCTAGCGTCAACCAATGGTTTTGTATAAAAATATTGCGTGCCAGAATATTTTTTTTCAATGAAATTATGGCAAAGATAATGGTAGGACATGTCTCTTTCCATAAAATAGTTTGTATTTCTTTATACTTTGCACATAATATATTGTGATATTTATATTAAATATATGTAATGATATGCTGGGATGGGCTATGCATCCACCATCACGATGCCTAAAGCTTCTTCCTAAAGGTCAGATATGTGAGGACCCGGCAAAATAACATGAGATAGCGAACATGTGATTCTAGCTGACGGAAGATGTCCAATCCTGCCCCTACTTGGACTTGTCAACTCAGGTTTTTTTTTTTTTTTTTAATGTTTTAAGAGTATAATTGTAATTATTTTTAAAATATTTTTATTTAAAAATATATAAAAATATTTTTTTATTTTTTAAAATTATTTTTGATATTAATACATCCAAATGATCTGAAACTATAAAAAAATATTAATTTAAAATAAAAAATTAATTTTTTTTAAAAATACTTTTAAAATATAAAAATAAATATACTTTTAGTTCTTATTTTTCTGGGACATTGAAATAAAAAATTTAATTTTGGTTGATTAACAAGTTATTTTGAGGATATTTTTATTATT